TCGTTCCTGGAGCACTGGGACACAGGTAACGACTCGCCTCTACACATTTATGGTCTGTCACGACCTCACTATCATGACATCACCTCGAGCGTTATGGGAACCGCCTTAAAAGTTTCCTCCTGGAACGTCAAGGGTCTTAGGACACCCCAAAAGAGAAGGCAGGTATTACGTCACCTTAAAAAACATAAGGTGGACATTGCATTGCTACAGGAAACCCACCTTCCCCGTGATGACATCTCTCGCCTCAAGCAATCCTGGGTGGGAACAGTGGTGGGGGCACCCTCGGTGGGCCGTTCAGCTGGAACGGCAATCCTCATAGGCAAAAACTTACCTCATTTACTCATCACCCAATGACACGATCTGGAGGGGGGTCGGTGGTCCCAGGTGACTATACAGATCGGGCAAACCACCCTCGAGATATGGAATATTTATGGCCCTAACCTGGACAACAAACCCTTCTTTGATAAGCTATTGTCGCGACAGTCTCCTCCTGCCCCTGACACCTATGTTTTCCTTGGGGGAGACTTCAACGCGGTCCCGGCTACTCTGGAGGACCGCTTCTGGACCAGGGGACGCCCCTCTAATACCACCCTCGCCCAAGATCTACATCTTTCGGCAATGATTCAAGTGGGTGGTTTTGTGGACATATGGCGATACCTACACCCTCTAACTCGTGAGTTCACCCACTTTTCCCATGCACATGACTCCCTTTCACGCCTGGACATGTTCCTGGTTTTGCCTAACATGGTGTCCAAGGTCTCTTCTGTGGTCATAGAAGATATGGTCATATCGGATCACTCTCCAGTGATGATGGAAATATCGCATTTGGGGATACCCTCCAGACCTTTAGTATGGCGCTTTCCATCTTACCTACGTACTGACGATACGTTTCAAGCGCAGTTAATTTCATGGTGGGATGAATATGCTTCTGACAATGCTCAACATGCTGGGGATCCTATTCTCTTCTGGGGGACGGCTAAGGCGGTACTGAGAGGCAGGATTTTGGCATATGTCTCCTCCCAGAAGAGAAGGACAAGACTGGGGTATGCTGAGGCATGCGCAGTGGCCAGGACTGCATATCTCCATTATCGACAAGCCCCTTCACCCCAGTCGAGATCCGAGTGGATTCAGGCTAAACACACTTGTGACCCTTGGATAGCCCAATACGACCTCCAAATTCACTCCCACAAAGAAGTGGAATTTTTTTAATTTGGGAACAAATCTGGGAAATTGTTGGCGAACTTGATCAGGGGACACAACGCTCCATCCCACATCCTCAACCTGACCAATGACAAGGGCAAGACTTCCGCGGACCTCGAGACTGTATGCGACACATTTCGTACATTTTACCAATCGTATGCGGCGGATGCGGGAAACCTCTCTGCAGGGTCCTCTTTTCTGGACACCGTGCCTTTACCTTCCCTATCCGCCGCAGATCTGGAACGCATGAATGCGGAGATCACCCTCCAGGAAGTCCAGACAGTTATTCATGGCTCCCCCGGCTCGAAGGCTCCCGGTCCTGACGGCCTATCCCCCGAATTTTATAAGTCCCTGACAGATCGGATCTCCCCAACCCTAGTATCCCTATATAATTACATACTGCAACCAGGTTGATACCCGCCCATGTTCAATGCCGCCTATATCAGGCTCTTACCCAAGAAAGGGAAAGATCCCCTGCTTCCTGGATCGTACCGTCCTATATCTCTGCTTAACTTTGATGCAAAACTTCTATCAAAAATAATGGCCAACAGACTGGCCGGTGTGCTGCCTCAGCTTATTTCACCTGATCAAGCAGGTTTTGTATCCGGTCGATCTGCTATGTTAAATGTGAGAAAAATACTTACTGCATTGGAGGGGATAAGGTTGTCGGAGGCTTCTCCCGGACCACTGACCCTTTTAGCCTTGGACGCGGAGAAGGCCTTCGACAACGTGAACTGGTCCTGGCTGTCAATGGTAATGGAAAGATATGGTTTATCAGGGATATTTTTGAAATATGTTACAACAATGTATAATGCTCCTTCTGCACGCATATATACCTCCGCGGCCCTTTCCCCATCCTTCCGGTAATACAAGGGTACTCGCCAGGGTTGCCCTCTTTCTCCACTCCTTTTCAATTTGGCGATAGAACCCCTATCCGGAGCCCTATCATCTTCTCAAACCTTTACAGGCTACAGGTCTGGCCCCTTCGACACCAAACTGGCCCTGTTTGCAGATGACATCCTGTTACTCCTATCTGACCCTCTAGCACAAATCTCAAAAATCTTTGACCTAATCACCCACTATGGGTCCTTCTCGGGCCTGAGAATCAATGTAAATAAAAGTGAACTACTTCCCCTGACTTCAGATAAGACTTTTGTAACTACCCTTTCCCGCACATATCCATCCCTGATAATGCAGAAACACTCTATCACTTATTTAGGTATCTCCATTCCCCGGTCGGCTAGACATCTATATACATTAAACTACAAACCTATAATAAACAAAATTGTCCAGGAACAACGCACCTGGAAAGATTACCCTATCTCCCTTTTAGGCAGATGTCACCTCATTAAAATGGTCAGCCTCGCCAGGTTGCTTTACCCTCTCCAGACTATACCCTTCCTTCTGAAACATAAAGATATACAAATCCTCCAAAGTGCCTTCACCTCGTTTCTCTGGCGGGGGAAGAGGGTGCGGATCGCCCTCAAAAAACTCCAACAGCCAGTGAGGTAGTTGGGTGCCAACCTCCCGAACATTAGAGCTTACAACTTGGCCAGCCTATTCCACAATGTACGAGATTGGACTCATGACACCACCTTTTTCACCAACACTCCTTTAGAGAGCAACTTAATGAAACCTTGGACCCCCTCTGGCATCATGAATACCCCACTGAGGCACCTCCCCAAACACATTAAAGATAACATTCTCCTCAGGGACACCGTGATAGCTTGGAGGGCACTCCGGAAAATACTCCACCTGCCCAGTGTCATATCCCCATTGATGCCCCTCAGATCCTCCCCAGGGTTTGCGGCAGGCGCTGACTCTAATGCCTTCCGGATATGGGCAGCTAGGGGTATTGTGGTTCTGGCGGACGTCTTCGACCCCCAAGGACGACTTAAGACTTTTCAGGATCTCCAAACCCAACAGCGTCTCCCGGCCACCCATTGTTACCCATATCTACAATTAAGTCACTTTATCTCCAGTCACCTTACATTGCCTTGGCCTGAAGTGGTCCACTCACCCCTCTCTTCATTGTTCTCTTCCCCCCAGATGAAGATGCCACTATCTATCATTGCCCGGAGCATAGTGACCTACATACAGGAATCTTCCACCTCAGTACCGTCCCACATTGGCCGCTGGGCGGACTTTTTAAACATGTCTACTGAGGACACCATCAATATGGTGGAGCAGGGCTGGCAACAAATCAGGAAGGCTATTGTCAATGAGTCCTGGAGGGAAATATATTTTAAAACAGTACATAGAGCATATCATGCTTTTAATATTCCCACTAGGGGGACCTCTTCAATGTGGTTAACTGCTTGTCCAAAATGCCTTCTCCCCCTACCTGACCCCCTGCACCTCATATGGTCCTGCCCCCGTATACAAAACTTTTCGTCCACTATAGTGTCCTTCACGAATGTGCACTCACATATGAACAGGAAGTTATCCCCAAACTTTTGCCTACTGACATTGCAGCCCACAAAACGTGCGTCAAATGCACGTTTACGAGGGATATCCGGCTGTATCCTAATGGATACGCGCGGAAATACGCCCCAAAGAAGCTCCTGTACTTCTTTGGGCATAAGGCGTTTTTCAGCACGTTCCGACACGCTGAAATACGCACAAGTGAGAACCATGCCCATAGGAAATAATGGGATTTCACTTGCAGGGCGTTTTACAGCGCGTCGATCAGCGCTGTAAAACGCCCAGGTGTGAACCCAGCCTTAATGGCTCTAAAATTATTCCTCTCACTTCGTTTGCGGCGATATGCAACATGTGCGGCACGTAGGCGCACCTAACACATATATGCATGTGTATTAGGGTGGTGCAGACTTAAAAAAAAAATTTAAAAAAATAAATGTTATGCTTTTTTATTTTTTTTTATGAATCTTTCATTTTTGTATTACTTTTTTTTTTTTTACATACAACTTTATTGCTATTACATGGGGGGCTAAGAAGCCCCCTATGGGATAGCCAATTTAATATATATATTTATATACCTTTTTTTCTAATAACAAGTCTAATAACAAGTCCAATGCCATCACTGACCTTTCCTGTTCTCCTGTTCTCCTCCTTCACCTTAAGCATAGATATCATGGTGTTTTCTTAATGATGTATGAGTTTCTCTTTGGCCAGGAGTACTGTGAGCCCAGGTCAGTGTGATGACAGACCCAGAGTGGCTGTTTTCATGATGTCCTGGGCTCACAGGAGGTAGGTTTTATAATGCTCGGTGTCATTCATCCTGGAATAGGACAGTTGATGGATCTGAGACTGGGGAGTTTGTTGGGAACAGAGTCAGAGAAAAGGAAGATATTCCAGCTGCATCTGTTTTTTTACATCCACCTTTTTGGTTTGTGGAGTTGGGCAATAAGTATCAGCAAAGGTAGGGGACTGGAGGAATTTGTTTTTATGTTTGTCAATAGTAAGGCCCTACAGGGTGTCTAAGACATGAATCCAATCCTGCTTTAAAATATCACTAAGTATAAGAAAGGGTTGGATACAATTTAAAACACCCTTTAAAATAAATGCACAAATGTTAAATTTCCTTTTTTTATTGTACATATCTCTTTATTATTTGAAAGTGCTGGTTACAACTATCTGCAAGATATTAATGCTATGCTCCCTTCAGCATATATCATGCTCTTGACCTTTTCAGACAATGATTTGTACATTAATATATGAAATTAGTACAACATAATTGAATTTTTCCTAAATAAAGGAAAAATTAACATAAAATCTCTTAAAATATATTTCTAAACTATGCTCTTCATTGTAGGCTGCATGAAGGCTATGACAATTACCTGTGTATTCCAGATGGAAACCAGCTGCAGAAACACTGATGTCTGATTGAAAATTTAAGTACAGATTGTTCGATGTGCTGTTTAGAAGATGAGGAATGGTAGTCCCTGTAAACAAGAGGAAAAACAATATTTCATCTGTAGATTATACATGTGCATAAAGAGAGAAATGGAGGTAACTTTAATTGAGGGATATCAGACCATGAAATACATGTATAACCTTATAACTTGCTAGTGGATACAAAAAAAAACCTGCGTAATGAAGGTGTTAAAGCTAACTTCCACAAAATTAACAGTAGTCCCATATTTGTCTGGAAGCCCTTCTTTTGTCTTTTTCACAACCCTTAATTCCCTCATAAAAAACAGAGAGTGCCACATCCTGCTATAAATGTCACTGGTTGGCATGCTGCACCTGACCAAAATTCCCTTAAAACAGACAGTTCTCCCAATTTATCATATTTCTCAGGTTCCCTATTGGTGAAATCTTCGCACTTGAGTTCCCAAGTCTGATCTGCTATGGCTGTTATAATTTGGGCCCACTTTCACTGTTAGATTTTAATTCAATTTATATTATGAACAATGCAACGGGAGGAGCAGCACTAGGGGCCAGGCTAGTTCCATGCATGGTGGGGGAGAGTAGGAGAGAAGAGAGCTTGTCTTACAATTCTCCTCCTCTCCCACATGGTGCCAAAAAGAGTTTGAAAGTTGCAGAAGAGGAGCCTGCTGTAAGCTGCAACTAGTGACAACCCGAGAAATAGATCATTTCAAACCCCTCAATTTGAAGGGTTTGAAATTAAAGATATGGGGATTACACCAATTGTTGAATTCGGCAATGTCTGGTGCAATAGAGGTGTGCAAGACAGGTACACGTTCTACCACATAACCTATGTGCTGCAACATAATACTTTATTTGACCTGCACTGCATAATATGATAAAATAAGATGTCATGTATGACTTTTTGCATTCTTCCAAAACTCCCAACCTTAGTCTAAGTTTCTTGCTCATATGAGCTTTGTTAACCCTGTTATAATAAAGCAAAAGCAGCAGTGTTGGAATAAAGAGAGAGAATAGAGGGAATAAAGCAGGTAAAACAAGGACAATATGTGTTTTCCTCACCCTGTGAAAACAAAGCAGAAGTTGTATTTGACAATGTGCCCATAACAATGGTTGTGCGACCTTAGTTTCTCTTCTTTTGTCTGTTTAAACTTTAAATTTTGGATGGGAACCCTGGACACTGCCGCTGGGCACCCAGGGAACAGTTGTAGTTAGAAAAGCTGTAGGGTGGCAGTGAAATCATGGAGTAGTGAGTGTGTAATGTACAGGCAGTGGTAGGGACACCAAAAGAAAAAGCTGCACACCATGGGTTGAGGGGAAGGGGGACAATAAAAGGTTTAACTGCTTCTAAAGGGGGGGTTGGTAGAAAAAAATGAGAACCAGTGAAATATGGGAACTAAAGCATGTAGATCTGACTGTTTCACTATCCAAGACTCATATCTAGCTATCCAAGACTCATATCTAGGACAACTTGAATAAATACCTTGGTATAAGCCTCACCTGTACAGCACCTTTAAGACTGGGTGAGGGAGAAGCAGCACTGGGAGCCAACAAGGTGTGTTTCATGCAAATGTGCTGAAAAAAGAACATGCTGCTAGGAGCAGAGTGCAAAAAAATATGGGTGATGACTTCAGTCAGCTGTGGCTCTTCACAAGCCAATCGGCAGACTGGGGACAAGGAGATAACAGCATTGTATTCTCTAAGTTATCTGCCTGAATGTGCTTTGTGCTGGGGAAGTGTAAATCACAGAACTAGATTGACAAAAATACAAATCTTTTGACAGGTTAAAAAGCTCTCTTAGATGCATTTCAGCTACCTTTTTGTCTGGAGTTAAGCTTTATAAATGCCAAGTTTAACCCGCAGTGGGCACATGCCATGCATGCATCAAAGTAGCATCAAAACCCCCCACATCCTAATTGCTATGTACACATACTCGTATTCGTGTAAGCAGTTAGGGGCTTCCTTAGGTTATTTTTACTGAGTCACCCCCTATGAACCTCACATTTTTCTGAATATACAATTTTAAGTATTACAAATAAAAGTGATAACCTTATTTCTCCTTCCAGTGTATGATTTATTAACCATCACTTACATAGAAGCAACAGTAGAAGTACAAATCAAACCAAAAAAAAAACACCTATTGATGTTTATATATATTTTTTCATTTTTACTCAACTATTTTTTTTGAGTGTTATTAAAATAGGTCAAAGAACAGGAAGTCACAGTTGCTCACCTGAATAGCTGCCATGTCTAGGAGCATTGTTGTCACTGCCATCATAAAAATCCAACGAGTCCCAGTTATGTTCTGTAGCGAAACTGACAACCTGAACCTGTGGGAATAGAGCGGGAGAAAGAGCTTTTCTGGAGAAGAAGGCTATAAAAATGGCTAAAAACACACACATACACACAAACAAATTGGAGATAGGAATATATGCTTCTCTATGTTGTAACGGACAGACGTGTTTTTATGTGATTTCTGAAATCATATAAAATAATTTGTTTTATTCCGCTCACATTTTCCTTCCCTAGTTTTTCCACTCCCCAATCAACATGTTAATTAATTTTTTTTATAAACCTTTCTGATTTCATTACATAGCACAGACTATGATTACCTGTGGATGACTGTACCTGGATGCAAACAGACTGCCTCCATGTGAGGTCGTCTGCATGTAACAGCAGCCTGTGTGATTACATGCAAACACAGGCCACAGCATCTGTTATTGGATTATACAGCGCCTACTGTCTGCAGCAGATCCCATGAGTCTGAGGCACGGTTCACTCTACTGCATAGTGGGTACACGTGTCGCAGTGATGCATGTTTGCTGACGTTTTCTACCCACGTGTCCAGGAACCCCTAAATGGGGACAAATGCGTGAAAGTAGTGTATGTATCAAATCTTGTGATATGAATTCCATGTTTTTTCTGGATGCGTTTTGGGTGCTATTAGTAATTTCAACGCAAGCATGTTTGGCATTTTTGAAGAGCATCCGTGAATGTGTATCAAAATTAGTGTTTCTCCCACACTTGGAGTGCGTTCACAAAATGCATTGGTGTGAATGGCGACTAACAGAGGAATTTGTGAGGATTACTGATCCAACCTCATTCGCAGGTGCATCTGTGGCAGGGCACAATCCTGCCCTCTCAGTCTGGGCCTGCAATTACAAGTAAATGGAGTGTTTGGGTGTGGTTACTCCCCGACCTACTATGAAATGACAGGAAAGGGACAGACACACAAGAGTGTGGATGCTGGTTTATCTATTTTTCAGTTTAATAATGGAACATATAAATGTGAAGTGGAAGGGAAAGTGAAGGCAAACCTCTAGGCAATCCCTCACTTTCCAATAGGCACCCACTCTTCCTTCCTGTTTCAGTACAGTAGGCTGCTATTGGAAGGAAGAAAGAGCAGAAGCCTTCCTCTAGCAGCTATCCCTGCTCTGCCTTACAGGAGTGATGATATAGTCACTCCTGTGAATCTCCTGAAAGCCAGAGAACTGAATTCCGCTGATAATGAACCAGAAAGATGAGTAAAAAGCCAGCATTGCCATCCTAATGCTGTCAGGTTCCAAGGCATGATAACAGGGTGGTATATTGAAAAGGGAGCCAGTACTTCCTTTTAGTTTCCAAAAAAAAACAATAGGCCTCTGCTAGATATATTAGTTTAAATTATATGTGGTCATTTTTGATTCACTTGACATATACAGTGATATATATATATACCCTGTTTCCCCGAAAATAAGACCTAGTTGTGACCATTCCCAGGGCCGGTGGTTGCATAAGGGGGAAATTGAAGAGCCGCAGGAGTGAATCAGCGGTGCCAACGAAGCCGGCGCTAGAGGAAGCGAGGCGGCACCGGAGGGAGCAGAGCCGCATAAGCCGATGCCTCCTCTATAGTGCCGGCTCCTGTCACAGGTGGAGTGATACCAAATGCACTCCGCCTGTGAAAGTTGTGAAAGTGCGCTTCGCTCATTCTGGCCAGCAATTGGTTAGCAAATTGCTCTTGGAAAGGTACGGCACCCCTGATTGCCCTGATCACTATATTTTTTACATGAATACATGTAGACTGTTGTACATGAATAAGTGTGGATTGTTGTACATTTAAAAAAAAATAAAAAATAAGACCTACCCCAAAAATAAGACCTAGTGTTTTTTTTAGCAATATAAACCTATATTTGGGCATATATAAATTAGTTATCAGAACACACGGCAGCCATATTGGCTGCTGGCGCGTTCTGTGCATGCCCGCCACCATTTTGGAGTATATCTCGGTATACACTAAGATGGCAGGCGCTGCTATTTTGGTGTTTACCAAGATATACTCTAATGACAGCGCGCATGCTCGATCTGCGGTTACTTTGTGCGGTTTCGGATTTGGAGGCTCGTTCCCTCCGAATCCGAAACAGCATAAACATTTGTTTCCTTTGACGAAACAAATGACATTTTTTTTTCATTTGTTTCATTTGAAACAATTGTTTTGCCTTTCATATGTCCATTGCACAGTGATTTGTTTTTTAAAATGACCCCTTTAAGCACAGGATTGGCTAACATGTGTATCACAGTTTACTGCTAATTTTCATTAGTGTGTGCATTGTGGTACATTACAAAAAAAAATATCACCTAGTAGGTAGTGACAGATATCACTTCACTGTTGTTAATAAATTGTTTTCCTGTCATCACACACGAGCGAATGTGACATATGTTAGAAAATATCTTGTGATCTTACTTGAATGCCTGCTCCCTCCGGCACAGTGATTTTCCATATACAGTTCAAATTGTTGTCATATGGCTCAGGGTATCCGGGAGACAAAATAGTCCCCTTGCGCTTTGTTAAAATTCCTCCACAGGGCACTAGAATGTATTAAAAAAAAGAAAACAGAATCAAATGTATATATACAGTCGTATTTGACAGTTATTGCTAGGTCCCGTAATCTGCAAAGAATATAATAGAATCTGACAATAGCTGAACAGCAAGGATTTGCATTTTAAGATACAATACAGTTGGGTACTTGTACTGGGTAAAGTGTTGGGATGTGATCTATATAGAGGCAAAAAAGGTGATTTCACAGCAAAGAATTCCAGTTAAGCACAATGATACTCTATCATAATAGGAGAACATTACAGGCCAACTCCATCAAAAAATAATATTTCAGTTGCAGTTTCAAGTTCAATGACAAACTCTTTTTTCTTTTAATCTCTAGAGGACTCCAGTTGGGAGACATAACCAGGAAACTTCTCAGTATCGTCCAACTGCCACAACTAGTGTCAGAAAATCCACTTTGCTGTCATTTCAGCATAGCAGAAATAGATGTTTGCTTTGCGGGGTGGATAACACAATCTGTCCGGCATGAAGTGAAATAATAAATGGTCCACCTGGGGAGTTAGCACCAAAAAGGCTGCAGGAATGCCACTCCACATTTCCTTGTACCCTATGCCAATTAACCTGAGAGACAGTTCACAAAGTTTACTCTTCCTCCTTTGCCACTGCAGCCTGGGATGATGTTTTCAACAGCAGGGCTCCTGTTACTCTACATATATTGTACACGTAAGTAATATCTAACGTGTTTCAGCTCTACAAGCCTTAGTCATAGCTATGACTAAGGCTTGTATAGCCAAAACGCAAGAACGTCTTGTTGCTGTGATGTACTGCATTTTGGCTTTTAATAAATAAAGCAGAATTAGGGTTCATGTTTGGACTTCAGCACTGTCACTTACTAACCTGAGAGACACACACAACTGATTGAACAGGATTGCACATTTTTGCCAGGTAAAATATTTGCATAAATGGGTTTTGATTGTGTATTAATGTGGATATTATGTCCAGAAACACACCTGCGTGCTTCGGCATCTGCGCAGCAATGCATGACAGAAGGAATCCCATTATTTTATATGGGGCTCATTCACACCTATGAATTATGCTGCACTGCAACTTGGAAAAAAGTGCTTCTTTTGGTGCTGCATGGTGAGATTTAAGACCCATAGACTTCAGTAGGAGAAAATGTAGACACACAAGGTGTGAACAGGGACTTATAGCTTAACATATCTACATAAATACATTTCTATACATCTATATTCTAGACATCTATTAATACAACTTTTTTCTCTGAGTCAACATCTCAGCCCAGGAAGTACAGTAAATGCTGACCTGGCTAATGCCTGAACAAAAATTACTGTCTTTGTTTAAGTATAATGTTACACATTACATAGCATATAAACAGGTAAAAACTGTATATTATCACCTGTGCTAAATTTTATAGTTTACTTTGATTTTTAGGGCCAGATAAATTGTTTGGTGGAAGCAGAATCTTCTTGGTGAGTCAGTTATATACCACAATGGAGCAACACTCTTTCTAGTAAGGGAGCGGCATCTTACTAAGCCAGCCAACACAAAAGTGACTCATTTGGAAAAGGTAAGTGATCTCTTTGTGAGCCTGTCCATGATGACTTGTCACCAGCAACAGGATTGCCCAGACAGCATCACCCTTAGTGGAATATGATTTACAACTATAATATAAGAGAGTGACCAGTGAAGTGAAGATATTTAGTGATGGAAGTTCCAGTGTATTTTTAAACCATAAAGTTGAAAATTGTACTGATGCATTAACCCCCATTCCGCATCCAAATGCAACCTGGCACTCTGTGTGCTATGCATGCCTGATCCCTGCACTCTGTGTGATACAAACTCCTAAGCCTCTGTGCACTATGCTTTCCTAAGCTCTGTGCGATATGCACTGCTTAGCCCTGCACTCTCCATGCTATGTACTCCTGTGTAATAGATACTCCTGAACCCTATACTCTATCCAATAGGCCCTCTTGGCTCCTGCACCCTGTGCAATATGAACTACTGACCTCTGCAGGTTATGCATTCCTGATCCCTGCACTCTGTAGTTACATACTCCTGAGCCCTGCACTCTGACATCCATCCAATCAGAGAGTGCGTAGTATTCACCGATACAAAATAATAGGCATTCACTGAAAGCCGCAGTGCCAAGCAAGAACCCCCTGGGTTTTCACAGCAAAGGGGAAGCTGTTTAGCACAGTGTCAGTACAGGACCTGGAAGATCGCTGTAAAGCACTGTAGTAGTGCAGACTACTACAGTGCTTTACAGGCTCCCCATGGTCCTACCAGGTATAAAATATGTATACTTACAATGGGTCAAGCAGGAACAATGTACCTATACATAAATATTTATACCTGCTCAGCTTTAGTTCAGCTTTAAACCTCACAGTGGTACATCTGCAATTTATCTAAAGTACTGCTAGTCTCAGGAGATCTAGAGAGATTTTTGTTGATCTCAATACTGAGCTGCTTACTTATTTCCTTGCTGCAGTTGGGGCTGTACCTAAAGGAACTTCAGTGCAAGGATGTCCCTGCTTTTCCTTCATTCATTCTATGAATCTGTGCTTCCTCCACCTCTCCTGCTGCTGCTTGATTAATATTCCATCAGTCTTCACATCACTAAATAATCAGGGGGGCAGTTTTGACCTGAGGAAGCAAAGCCCTGTCTCTATCAAAGCAACCTACTCCGCACAATGCAGAGCTAGGCATGGTAAGTAAATAATGGGAAAAAAGATTAGCTGCAGAGAGACCCAGACTATACTAGTGATTAGTCCATAGCCCCCTGCTTGCTTTTTTTATGGGGCAACAGTACAGGTCCACTTTAAGGCCCACATGGTTTTGTGCCAACAAACACCTGACATACATACATACAACCCTGGTTAATGAGTGATAATTCCATTTGAGTACATTCATGTTGAATTATCTACAATGTGCAGGCACTGGCAATTCAGGAAAGCTCCGCATCTACGCAGCTTCAATGCAGCTGTCAGCTAAAGTGTTTTTGGATTAGTCACAATTCTAGAAGTAATTTAAAATGTAAAAGCCATTTCTGCCATGTCTTCATTTACTCTCTGACACAAGAAACTCGTTATTGTTAAATATTTGCATTTAAACCATATTGTTAAACTTTTCCTCGATTTGTGCACTTGGCTCCTTGAAAAACAAAATGTTTCCCCGGCCCGTTATTATGAGCCCTTAGCCATCTGTGCAGAGTCACTAAACAAATTCTGCCTGATCGGCAACAGGTAATCTTTGCTCGATGTTAGCGCCACTTTCACCAAGATAATGATACTGTATGCAAAAATAACAGCTGTAATGGCAAAGCATTAGAGTTTGGTTAATGTCATGTTTTTTTCCTGATAACATTTCATTATCTACAAATTACGGTAAAGACTCCTAAACTGTACTCCTGAGATATCTGAGCATTTTAATCAGTCGAATATATTTAGCATATTTTAATTAGTTTATTTCCTGCGTATCTCAGGAGCATTACTACCTCAGGTCTACAGTGGATTCCTGAGGTAACGTTTGATGCTCTTTAATTGCAGAACTGTGGGTATTATGTGTTCCTAAAGCTTAATTACCAAGTTACTTTACACCTTGACTGGTCAGTTTATGCATTCAAGACTTGTTTGAGTAGTGTGTGATGTACATACAATATTCTGACCCTTGAAGAATATTTAAACCGAAGAACAAAACTTTAATACATTACAGCTTAACAGTCCTAGGTTGTTATGGCTGCAGTAGTTTTCATGTTTCATGCCAGGTATTCTTTCAGCAAGTATAGAAAAAACCCTGTTGATATGTCCAGAAATGTGATATCTTTGTCACCTTCTGTGAGCTGAACTGAAAGCAGAAACAATGTTATCTTCCTTTAATCAAATACTAATGTCCCCACCCCATGTAATTGTGAGGGAAAGGAAGACATGTTTGAAGTTGAGCCTGGTTTACAACTATGGGTCCCTCCATAGAGATACAGTGTAGTGAGTTAGCGTACCCACCCTAGGACAGGAAGTGAGCTATTCTTAGGATCACTAGGTCAAAAAGGACCTGAAAAAAAGAATACTAATGTAGCTAATGTATTTTGGATAGATTAGAGAAAGTCTCAAATCACTATAAAGTTTTTATTTCTGTATGTGTCTCCACTGGGGAGAATCACCCTCTAAATTTGTCTTGGTGAGCACTGTCACCAGGACTGGAAGGAAAATGCAAAATGTTGAGTTGTCGCCAAAATAACAATTGAGGGGAAATCTTCTAATGAGGACACTTATTTGTTTGACAACTGTCAAAGGGAGGACTTCCTGGTCCTAAGAGAAATGTACTCTCACTTCCTGTTGTATCCCTGAGAACGGAAGTGATGTAATGTCTTCCATTATTGAAAACAGGCACACACCCCCCCAAAAAAGAAAAACCTTAGAAGGGTTTTAACCATTTCCTACTCTATCCAAAACTAAAAAATGTGGCATTAGATATACATTGAAGGGAACCTTACCTAATCGCTCATATATTCCTGTATTACTAAAGATGTAATGTACTGTATAGGTGCTATCTACAGTATCTATCTACAGTATCTATCTATCTATCTATCTATCTATCTATCTATCTATCTATCTATCTATCTATCTATCTATCTATCATTCTATCTATCTATCTATCTATCTATCTATCTATCTATCTATCTATCTATCTATCTATCTATCTATCTATCTATCTACAGTGTCTGTCAGTCTGTCTGTCTGTTGTATCAATCTATCTATCTATCTATCTATCTATCTATCTATCTATCTATCTATCTATCTATCTATCTATCTTTATATCCCCTACAAGATAAATACAAAAATCTATGGGACATTCACAAATGGATAGGCTGGTTCTGGAAAGGGTCACACAATGGCCTGATATAAGGCCTGGCGTGACAGGCTTTTGATCTACTTCCCTAAGAACCATGGTTTGTAGAAGCTATATCAAACAACAATTTTTAAGCTTAACTGCAGGCAAATAGCTTAACACA